AGGCTGCTCTGATCAGTCCCACCTCCCGCCTCTGCAGCCAGCAGAAAACTGAGCTTCCGGTCACAGAGAACGTGCAGACGATTCCCCCGCCATATGTGGTCCGCACCATCCTTGTCTATAGCCGTCTACCCTGCCAGCCCCAGTTCTCCTTGACGGAGCCCATGAAGGTGGGTGAGGCCTGGGAGAGGGAGGGAGGCCTGCAGCTGTGAGGATGGTGGTTAGACACCACGCAAGCTGGGGTGCCTGGAGGCAAGTTCCTGGGGTCGAGGCAGAAATGGGGTTACAGTCATGGGGCTTGGGGTGACCCAAACCCCAGAGGCTAGTGTTCTTTACTTCCCCTGCAGAAAATGTTCCAGTGCCCATATTTCTTCTTTGACATTGTTTACATCCACAATGGTGCCGAGGAGAAGGAGGAGGAGATGAGCTGGAAGGTAAGAGGCCGCAGCAGGTGTGGGTGGCAGGCGGGTGTGGACAGGATGTTTTGGAACACGCCTGCACTGGGTCTGGGGTCTCCACCTCCATTTGGTGGCCCTGGAGCCCTGGTTACAGTAGGTCATGGGCATTCTGTCATCCAGCTTCGGGTTTCTCAGTTGTCAGCTGTGACTGACGGGGTGGGAGCCATTGGGACGATGGTTCCCAGCGACATGCTGAGTCCTGCCTCCCCCAACCCCAGCATTCCCTGCTTCTCTTTCTTTTTTTTTTGGAGACCGAGTCTTACTCTGTTGACCAGGCTGGAGTGCAATGGCACGATCTCGGCTCACCGCAACCTCCGCCTCCTGGGTTCAAGCTCTTCTCCCACCTCAGCCTCCTGAGTAGCTGGGATTACAGGTACCCGCCATCATGCCCAGCTAATTTTTGTATTTTTAGTAGAGATGGGGTTTCACCATGTTGGGCAGGCTGGTCTTGAACTCCTGACCTCAGGTGATCTGCCCGTGTCGGCTTCTCAAAGTGCTGGGATTACCGGCGTGAGGGGCAGTGCCCCGCCCCTTCTTCCCTTGCTTTCTGCTTTTGACCTCGCTGTGCCCTCAGCTTGGAACACCCATTCCTCCTGGACTCCCCAGGCCCTGTTGGGCCTTCACATCCCAGACCTAAACTAGCTGTAGGACTTGAGTAGGACTTACTTCTCTGAGCCTCAGTTTACCCATCTATGAACAGGGGAAACTGACACTAGCTCCTCCTCATACCTCAATACCCAAATCAAAAGTCCCTCCTCTAGGCCGGGCGCAGTGGCTCACACCTGTAATCCCAACACTTTGGGTGGCCAAGGCAGGCAGATCATAAGGCCAGGAGTTTGAGACCAGCCTGGCCAATATGGTGAAACCCCATCTCTACTAAAAATACAAAAATTAGCCAGGTGTGGTGGCAGGTGCCTGTAGTTGCAGCGACTCGGGAGTCTGAGGCAGGAGAATCACTTGAACCTGGGAGGCAGAGGTTGCGGTGAGCCGAGATCATGCCACTGCCCTCCAGTCTGGGCAACAGAGCAAGACTCCGTCTCAAAAAAAAAAAAGTCCCTCCTCTATCTAGCTGGGCATGGTGGTGTATGCCTGTGGTCCCAGATATTTGGGAGGCTGAGGCAGGAGACTTGCTTGAGCCCAAAAGATAGAGATTGCAGTGAGCTGTGATCAAGCCACTACACTCCAGCCTGGGCAACAGAGCAGAGACCCTGTGTCAAAAAATAAAAAGTGCCTCCTCTTAGAAGCCCTCCCTGTTTTTCAAGAAGGAGCAAAGTAGGGGCCAGGAGAATGTGTCTGTATCTGACTGTGTTTCTTCACACTGGGGACTCTTTGGGGACCATGACAGGGACCTCTTTAGGTCCCTAACTCTGGGTCCATGGCAGGGAATGTTTACTGAATGCGTAAATGGCTTCCGCTTGGCAAACTCCTCTTCACCCTTTAGAACCCACCCCAGATGTCCCCTCCTCCAAGAAGCCCTCCAGGGATATGAAGGAGCTATTGGGGTAACCTCTGCCTGAACAGCCCTTCACTGACCCCCTAGGACATGTTTGCCTTCATGGGCAGCCTGGATACCAAGGGGACCAGCTACAAGTATGAGGTGGCACTGGCTGGGCCTGCCCTGGAGTTGCACAACTGCATGGCGAAACTGTTGGCTCACCCCCTGCAGCGGCCCTGCCAGAGCCACGCTTCCTACAGCCTCCTGGAGGAGGAGGACGAGGCCACTGAGGTCGAGGCCACTGTCTGAACCTCCCCTGTACACCTGCACCTCCTTGTGCAAGGAAGCCTTTGGCCTGAAGGCTTGGTTCTCCAACTGGGCTCCTTGACACCTCGGGGGGTTCCAGGAGGCACCTAGGATGCCTTGCAGGGTCCTGGGAAGGAAACCCAGGATTCCAGGAGAGACCCCAGGAACTCTGGACACCTGTTTTCCGTGTTTCCCTGCCCATTCCCACTCCTAGTTTGCCATGGATAATTTCTGTCCTTTCCTGTGTGATTTTTGACATCAAAATAAAAACTTGAGAGTCGTTAACTGGAGTCCACGCCTGTCACTTTGTGTTAATTTGGATCATCTTGGTTGTAAGTGACAGAAAACTTATCCACTGAGCAAAGGTGAGCGGCTGCTTTCTTGGTGATGAAAAAGCCCCCGGGACGTGGAGGTTGCAGTGAGTTGAGATCGCACCACTGTACTCCAGCCTGGAGACAGGGCGAGAGCCTTACTCATTTAATAAAAAAAGAAAAATGTGGCTGGGCGCGGTGGCTCACGCCTGTAATACCAGCACTTTGGGGGACTGAGGAGGGCAGAACATGAGATCAGGAGTTTGAGACCAGCCTGAGTAACATGGTGAAACCCCACCTCTACTAAAAAAAAAAATTGCTTTGTGTGGTGGTGCGCGCCTATAATCCCAACTACTCAGGAGGCTGAGGCAGGAGAATCACTTGAACCTGAGAGGTAGAGGTTGCAATGAACCAAGAATGTGCCACTGTACTCCAGCCTGGGTGACAGGGCAAGACTCCATCGCAAAAGAACACAGAAAAATTCAAAAATAAAAATGCTGTAATCCCAGGATTTTGGGAGGCCGAGGTGGGCAGATGACGAGGTCAAGAGACCGAGATCATCCTGGCCAACATAGTGAAACCCCATCTCTACTAAAAATACAAAAATTAGCTGCGGGTGGTGGCTTGCCCCTATAGTCCCAGCTACTCAGGAGGCTGAGGCAGGAGAATTGCTTGAACCTAGGAGGAGGAGGTTGCAGTGAGCCAAGATTGTGCCACTGCACTCCAGCCTGGGTGACATAATGAGACCCTGTCTCAGAAAAAAAAAAAAAAACAGAGCCTTACTCTGTTGTCCAGGCTGGTCTCAACTCCTGCGCTGACAAAAAGAAAAAAGAAAAACGAGCAACAGCAAACAACTAGGCTCAAGTGATTCTCCCACCTCAGCCTCCCAAAGCGCTATAGTTAAAGGAGTGAACCAGGGCCCTTGGCCTGGGGGTTGAATATTGAAGCCTCTTATTTATTTATTTATTTATTTTCTTTCTGGGACAGAGTTTTGCTCTGTTGCCCAATGTAGGGTCCAGCCCTACAGGGTTCTGTGAGCCACTCCTGGCTGGTGCTGAGATGAGAAATTGTAGAAATATAAGACACAGAGATAGAGAAAAGAGTTTGGGCCCAGGGGTCCGCTGCTACCCAAATCGCGGAAACCAGCAGTGGCCCCGAATTCCTCGGGATGCTCTCTTATTGAGTTGTAAATCTGGGGGCAGGGTCAGTGGGGCGGGGCAATGATAGGGTCAAGCACATCACGTGTCATTGAGGTAGGGGCTCGGGAATTTCTGGCACCCGAATTGAGGTAAGGGGCATAATGGATCAGCACTTTTTCCATACTTGAAAGAACTAAAACATTAAGATTTATGTTACTATTACTGGTTATCTTTTCTAAGACAAAAGGAACCAGGTGGAGAAGCAGGGCGTGAGAGTGGGCATGGAATGGGACCACTGAAGCACAGCATCACATAGACACAGTTAAGCCCCCGGATGTCCGCGGGCTTCCCTGACAACTGTCAGGCCTTACCACAAGAGCTTGGAGAAGCGGAGTTTTCTCCTAACCTCCTCAGGAAGAAGATGTCTTGGCCATTTTGGACATCTCCTCTCCTAGCTGGCTAAACAGCAGGCGCTTTCCCAGAGCTGGCGCTGCCGCACAGCCGAGGTGCCCTTCAGCAGCCCTTATGCGGGCATGACAGAGGGCTTAGAGCATCTTGCCTTAGTGTCATTCATTTCACAATGTCACGCGAGGTTCACACTTCTGACCTAATAGGCATTAGTAAAGGAATTAGGATCACCTATGAATAACTAAGATCACATATAAATAACTAACTACTACCGTTATGTTTCTAGTTACTTTCTTCTTCATTATTTATATGGAAATAGGCTGAAGCCTTTCGCTCCTGCCTTGGCGCTTCTGGGATCTCCCCGATACAGCCCAGGCTGGAGTGCAGTGGTGCGATGACAGCTCACTGTATCCTCACACTTCTAGGCTCAGGAGAGCCTCGCAACTCAGCCTCCCAAGTAGCTGGGACCACAGGCACAAGCCGCCACATCCAGCTAATTTTTTCTATTTTTTGCGGGAACAGGGTTTATCCAAGTTTCCCAGGCTGGTCTCGAACTCTGGCACTCATGCAACCCTCCCGCCTGGGCCTCCCAAAGTGCTGGGATTGCAGGTGTTAGCCACCGTGCCCAGCCGAAGCCTCTCATAATGCCACGCGCCCTCCAAGAGGCCACCCTGGCAGAAGATTTTCCCTAATCTTCTGATTAGACCCAACGCCCTGGACACCCCGGACTTTCCTCATCGTAGCTCCACCCACCCGAGCAGGGGGCCTTCGTGTTTCCCGTTTTGAAATGAGATAATGGCACACCCGGTGGCATCCTCCCGCCCGGGCTCTTATCGGCGGCCCCAGCCCCTGCTTGAGCGCCTCTGGTTGTCTCGGGCTCCTGCGGACACTAATGCGTCCGAACCCCGATGTGGGCCCCGGTGCGGCGCGGGGCAGCCTGGCTGGGGACCCTGCTCAGCCCTGGAGAGGGGCGTCCCAAGCCGAGGGGCGGAGCGGCGCATGCCCACAAGTCCGCCGCGGGAAGTAGGAAATCAACTGTACAGGTGGTGCGCTTCGAACCCGGCCAGGACATGTGCTCCGCGGCCGGCCTGGCGCGCCGGTTGCGGGAGGCGCTGCGGGAGGAGGAGTCCTGGTGAGGGCGGGGCCGGGGGCGGGCCAGGAGTGGGGGTCTTTGGCCGGGGTCCACTCTGACCCCGGTGTTTGCAGGGCGGTGGAGGAGCTGCTGCGCCGCGGGGCTGACCCTAATCTGGTGCTGGAGGACGGCGCAGCGGCCGTGCACTTGGCGGCCGGAGCCAGGGACCCGCGCGGCCTGCGCTGCCTCGGGGTCCTACTGCGCCGAGGCGGGGACCCCAACGCTCGGTAAGGCGGAGCCTGGGCCGGCGGCGGGGTCTCCAGAAAACGAAGTCTGGGAATCCGGAAAGGGACGCCCCACTATCCGGGGCCAGGGCCTCAGGGCCCAAGGGTAGGGTTTGGGGGATCTAGCAGAGGGAACTTGGGGGATCCAAGGGCAGGGGCTAGGGCTCGAGGGAGGCACTGGGGTCCCAGACCGAGGGCGGGGAATGGGACTGCGCTAGGAACAAAATGAGGATCAAGGGTGCAGATGTGGGGGTTGAGGCTCCAGGGTCAGACGGCAGAGGTTTGGGTCCTGGCCTGAGGTCATAGCTTCTAGGTTCCAAGGGCAGTGTCCCAGGCTGGACGGTGGAGATGGGGGGCCGAGAACTAAGACTCCAGGTCCCCAGAGCGGAGATTGGGGTTCCTGCCGGGAGGCTGAGTCCGCAATGACCCCTCTTGCGCTGCTGCCCTAGATCTGTCGAGGCGCTGACACCGCTGCATGTGGCCGCCGCCTGGGGCTGTCGCCGCGGCCTGGAGCTGCTGCTGAGCCACGGAGCTGACCCGGCGCTGCGCGACCAGGTTGGCAGGCATTGCGCGGGCAAAGAAAGGCTGGAGAGCCCAGAGGGAGGGAGGCAGGGAAGGGAGAAGGGCCTCGGACGCCCCCTGCTGACCGCGCCGCTGTAGGACGGACTCCGGCCGCTGGACCTGGCCCTGCAGCAGGGACACGTGGACTGCGCGGGAGTCCTGCGGGATCTCCACACGCGGACCGGGACCCGGACGATCGGGGCAGAGACCCAGGAGCTGGAGCCTGCGCCTGGCAGTGAGTAGGGCCTGCGGGGCTGTTGGGGCTTGACTTCTGCACCAGTCTCTGGCATCCACTGTTTCCCCCACCTCACCCATTGGTTGTGACTGTCTCATGTCCACTGTCTGTGGCCAGCTCTTTCTGTCTCAGACACTCCGATGTCCTTTTTCTGTCTCTCTGATCCTATTCCTGTCCCTGTCTCATCCCCCTTGCTCCCCTCTCTGGCCCTCACTCTCACCTGCAGCCCCGGGCCTCTCTGGACTTCCCGATAAGACGCTGGACTCCATCGCACAACAAACGCAGCCATGCAGAGGTGACAACAGGGACATGGGCTTAGAAGCTGACCCCGGACCCCCCAGCCTCCCCGTTCCCCTTGAAATTGTGGACAAAGATGGGAGCTCAGCATCCCCTCCAGGGCACTGGGATTGCGGTTCCGACGCCTCTTTCGTCACTGCATTTGAGGTCTCTGGAGCCGAGGACCCAGCCTTGGACACTCCCCCCTGGGCTGGTTCATTGCCACGGACCAGGCAGGGGCTCCTGCATGTTGTCCGTGCCACCCAGAGGGTACCTAGTTTTCAGGACACAGAGGCAGAACTGAATACCCGTCTGCAGGCGCTGACTCTGACCCCACTAAATGCTGCCGGCTTCCAGTCTTCCCCCTCCTCCATGCCTCTCCTGGACAGCACGCCGGCTCGTAGCCCCCCACACACACCACCCCCTGGAGCCTCTAACTGCCACTGCTTTCGGGAGGACAAGGCATCCATTGATAGTGACATGGCCACGCTCTGGCTGACAGAGGACGAGGCAAGCTCTCCAGGTGGCAGGGACCCTGTCGCCCCTTGCCAGCACCTGCCAGTGCCTACTCTGTGTGACCTGGAGTTGCCGCAAGGGCTTCAAGCGCTTGGTGAGAATCCGGGCCCCGTCACACCCTTCCCTCGGCAGTTCTACCTCCAACGGCTGCAAGAAGCCCAGATTGCCCCTGGTTAGTCTCTCCCAGGCACACGGAATCCAGGGAGCCTCCAGGAATCTCCCCGAGAACCCCAGCTCTCCGTCCAACTTTCCTCCTCATCTTACAACCATCCTTCCTCCATCTCCCTTGACTCCCAGGCCCAGACTTTGCAGGGCACAGCCTCGAACTGGCCGCAGCCCTGCAGACCGGCCGTATTCCAGATGCCCAGGCAGATGAAGACGCATTGGTCCAGCAGTTTGAGCGGCCAGATCCTGCCAGGAGGTGGCGGGAGGGGGTCGTGAAGTCTAGCTTCACGTATCTGCTGCTAGACCCCAGGTACTCAGAGCAGGAAAGCCCCAGAAGTAGAAGCTAGAAAATTTGGGAATTGGCTTTTATTTGCTGTGTGGCCTTAGGAAAGGGACTGGTCCGCTCTCATCAGCTTTTTTTTTTTTTATTAAAATTTTTTTTTTTTTAGACATAGGGTTTCACCATGTTGGTCAGGCTGGACTTGAACTCCTGACCTCAGGTGATCCACCCCCCTCAGCCTACCAAAGTGCTGGAATTACAGGCATGAGCCACTGTGCCTGGCT